GATGAACTTCCTGGTTTTTCACCAGTGTTGGTTTCCTGTCAGCTTGAGTGACAATAAACCTCACTCAGATCCAGAATTCTGGTGTTGTATGGTTTGATTCCTTCTACAAATCTATTTATTTAACGATGATGGTTTTAATATCGACTTCAGTTTATTGAACACACATTTTCTTACAATAGTAAATCCAACTTCTTTATAAATGACCATGAAAAACACTAAACACATGTAAATAATATCCACACTGGAGTTTGGAACAGCGGGTCAGAAACTTGCGCTGGAACGCAGTCTTGTTACGCAAGAGATGGTGAGTAAAGCAAACTATTTAATTAATGTAGTTAAACTTTATTTTGAGGGGGAAAATGAGGAAAATGACACATTTCCTCATCTGGCAGCATTTTCTCCAACGCGATCTGTCAGCACAGCACAGCAGCAAACTCCAGCTGCCATGGACAGCAACAATAATGACAGCGCAATTTTTTTGTCAACTCTGTCAACAAAAGTTATCTGCTATGGGTCAAATAAATATGGGTGAGCATTTGGACCAGACATGTAAAGAACCATGGGCTCCTTTTTTTTCTCCACAACCCCTCAAGCATGCATCTGGAGATCGGATGGTTGCGCACAAGTTTGGGCCAGAGATGTGGCAAAAAATACAAAATTCTTATTTTATTTGTAAGCTGATTTGGTCGACCTGGATGGGATCAGATCAGAGCCAAAACGTTTTTTGCACGTGTCAGGCAGGTTTATGGTCATAGAGCCCAACCCTGCAGAGCTGGAGAATTTGCGTAAACCCTCCGATTGTTCTCCAAATGGGTTGTGCGCACTGCTCCCCATTTAAATAATTTATTAACTTATCAAGTGTTCTCATTTTCACATTATTGTACAAGTTATGAACTGTACTGCATTTGGAGAATACTTCACCAACATAAACGTCAAGTAGACAAACTCCAGCCTCCAGTTTGCGAGCGTGCGCGCATYGTCAGCTGAGCGCTGCGCAACAAAACCGAGCCATGTTGATCTGGTGAGTTATAAACATATTTAGTCCTGATCTTAATTTCGTCGGTTTTGTCTGTGCCTCTGTCTGTATCTAGACAGAGAGACATCCGTCATAACTTGTCAGCGTTGGGTGCAAGCTATAAATGTCTGTGGGACCAGCTGATGGGCAGGGCCGTAAAGTTGGGGGGCCAATGGCCCCCTGGCCCACCTTATTCCGGCGCCGTTGGTTTCCATCTCTGCTTTTGCGCATTAACTCCATTACAGGATGGGGGAAACTGGTCTTGGCGGAGGTTTGCRCTCTCCGAGTGCTTCTTGATGATATTTTACTCATACGGGACAAGTGAGAAAAAGTCAGTTCAGGGGTCCCTGCTGGTGCTATTGGT